TCCTAAAAGTATATTTCACTCTGTGAATAATATATAAACTTTGCTTCATATAAAGCAGAGGATAAAAATGATAAGAACAAGCTGACTAATGCTTATTGCGTTTCATAATCTTGAATCAATCACTGAAGGTTTCACATTCATAAAAACTTGACTATGTCTATTGGTACTTTGTATAAAATTGTTTTGAATATTTAGTCTGTAAAGTATACGCGAGCACTCAACGTTTTAGAAATTTTGCATTAGCTGCCAACGTGAAACCGACTATGGTCTCACAGGAAATTAATTAATTGGTCATTGCGAGGAAATGGACGTGCATCGACTTCTCCGAGAATACTGTTCAGCTTAATTAATTTCCTACTCCTACGCGAGTTGGTCGAAGCGATTCCGTCCCTCGAAAAGATAGTGGAATCGTACCGACAATTTCCAATATCGAGAGGTTCCGTTCTCTCGAAGGCTGCGTTTAATTCGCATGAATTGCCTGCTTTTTTATTTATTTTTCACGTTATTTTATAAAAAAGAAAAATTGCGTCGGGTGCATTCATATACAGCATAATCATAACAAATTCTTGCTCGCGATGCTTTATGGATATATTTCGACTTGTTTACGTGCTCTGACACGCATTCAAATAATGGTTTATGCGTGTACTCTGCGTCGCATAATTTGAGAAACAGGATAATTCATGTTACGTACTGGACGATCGTGGAATACGAGATGACGCATACGACCGCAAAGCAGCACGTATGTACATCCCACGCTCCTCTTTCTTCCGCGTTATATTTATTATATTTTCCTAAGGTCGAGATAATCATAATAAAATTAATAATTGCTATGTTTAATGGCTTGATTTTCAATTGTAATGACTATTATTTTAGTCATTGTAATTTATTATGTTCTATTTACCGAATAGTCTTAATTTTTCGACCATGTTTTTACGATTGATTTTGTTTCTTATTTGTTATTCAGCACATATTTCTCGATGTTTCGATGAAAATTTGATTATCAGCTTTGGTTATAAATCATCAGCCGCAAGGTACTTCTCGAAGATGCATCCGCCTAACTGGTTAGTTGGCTTTCAATTTCCCCCTCGGTATTTAACGGTGAAAGGGGAAATTTGTCAGGTATGCCCACGTGGTTAAAAGCCACGAACAAAGTAGCGAAACGCCCACACGAATTCCTAGATCCATGATCGTGCTATCTTGGCGGTAATTCTCCTCTCTTGGTGCATCATGCATGTTCGTTCCTTTGTTTTAGGTTCCATAGTAATTCTGAGCAGGTACAGCGAAGATTTAAAATTCATTTTGCATAATCAGCAAATCAGGAACGGAAAAGTCATGTTTAATTCGTGATTGTTACTCCTAAGTCTTCCTAAAGAATTTTCATATAAAAGTAAATATTTTAAACATGTCTAAAATTTAAATAAATAATTTTACTTATATATTTCAACTGTAGTTTTTATCAAATATATTAACACGACGAATCAATAAGATTTACTTACGATGATCTGATACTTATCGTGTCACTTGAAAACTTATCGAGCCCGAGAAATCTAACACGATATTAGACACTTCCTCCGACCTTAACCTTAAATCATTTACGTCTCAATTGTAACGAACTCGTCGTGAAGGAATAAGAGCGGCGCGACAAAGGAAACGTCACGACGTTTGAGCACAAAGAACGTCCTTTTCATGGAGAAGCGACGGGTGCGACGGCCGGCCGACTGGGCGCATTAGAATATATATACGAGGTGTAAAAAAAAAGGCGAGCACGAAAGTCGCGGGCGTGGGAAAGCCGGCCCTCGAGCGAGCCACCAATTAACACCAATTAGCGCTCATCTGCTCTAGGTACTGCCAGTGAGCGGAGCTGACTTTACGTTTAGCGCGAGACGTCTGACTCGCTGCGGATTGGCCACAACATGCTCTTTGTACTGCAAAGATTGCATCACCGAATATATTCATATATTGCCTTTACCGTCGAAATATTAGGAACATACCGAACAATCATTATTTCCTTTTGAGTCAACTAACACTTATAAGTTTAAAATCTTCGAAATTCTTTGATAACCGGAATTAATTCGAAATTAAGCTCGAATCGTTTGAAGCGATGCATAACAATTTTGATCGCCGAAAAAAATTTATGTAATCGATAAGTTAGAAAATTAGTAGTTAAATCATAATCATATAATTAAGCGAGGACACGACGCCAAAAGCAAGAGACAAATCGACTGACAAGAAGTAACTCGACTCACGCAAAAAGTAGATCAGTCACTAGTGGAAACAGATCATTTAATCCATTTCTACCAACGTAGAAGATAACTTTAATCTTTTTTAATTTACTCTTTATCTTATTCTAATTTTTATAACTGAAAAAAGATAAAAAATGAATTAATCCGAGATTAAAGTTAATCTACATTGGTAAAAAAACATTATTCAGACTTCAATTCGTTCGCTAATGAAAACAGATCACTTAATTAAATTGTAGCCCGTGTTAACTAAAATTCTTCTAATTTAAAAATTAATTTTTTACAACAATTTACCTCCAATTAAATAAATGCAGTGTTTAAAAATAGTTTTAAATAAATATATATTTAGAGGAAAAAGTGAGAGATATGGCCAGTGTATATATTGTGGCCTCCCTTAATATCTCTGCTATTATATAGCGAATTCTAATGATTACTTATGGAATTATTAGTTCAGTAGCTCGCCGTTACGCTAATATTACTAATACTCAATAGCCAGCACTTATTATAACGCATTTTTACTTTCAAGTATTTCGAAACGTTTCTGAGGTACACTTTAGCATTTAATTACACCTACTTCCCCCCCCTCATTTTTCTTAAACTTGAGCGTATTATCACATGAATGTATGTATTTTTGAGTGTGTTATTTGCTATTTAACATTTTATTTGATTGCATATATTTTGAGTTATGCAAATTTAAACAATACCATGACATTTTGCTAATGTGGCCCTCTGTGAATATTGATTACCTCATTTTTGAGATTTTCATATCAAAGTTATTTGATAATCGATTGTAGTTCTACTGTTAATCTATAGTTTATATTACGTGTACTATTTTTAGTACTGAGCAGCTTATATGCAGAAGTTATGTGAATGTATATACATGCATTTGCATACATTTTAAAATATTTTCCTTTTTTGTTAATTTTGTAACCAAATACTGTTTTCTAAACGAAACTGATATTTTAAGGCTATTTTTATGGAAGGCCACATTTTACCACTTATTTTTTTCTTTGAGTCATTATGCAATGTCGCCACATTTTTATTAATAGTATCCTAAGTAATAAATATTTCGTAACTTTGAGTCCAAAATCGATTCAACAACATTTTAACGAATGTAATTGTCAAGTTTTAAACTTAAATACTGATTATTAACAAAGTTATTGTGTAAAATGTAACTGGGGTGCCATAATACCACCTTCTCCCCTCTCTCTCTCTCTCTCTCTCTCTTTATATATATATGTATAAAGTATGTACAGTATTAACAATATTAACTTGTCAATATAACATAAATTACGAAGTACAAGTATAAGTCACAAAGTTTTCGCTTCGCGATTATTACTTGGCAAATACCAAAGTCGAGACTCTGCGTTCATTGTCTAATTTCCGAGGATCGTCAAGTTCATTATACCGATGCAAACGTGTTGTGAGTGTGTGAGCGCGCGCGAGACGCCAATGCGCGCTAATCTTTTTTTCGCCAAGACCGGTTCCATCAGAGGAACACTTCCAGCTTTCTACCATCGCATCGGCGGCTCGACTCCCGTGTAACCTCATCGGGTGCCAGCGCGCGGCTACACGAAACGAAGAAGCAGACAGTCGCATCTTCCGCGCGCGGCAGCACGATTCGAATTTATTTATTGCATTAGCCAACCGTCGCTCACTCACGGCCCTTGATTGGTGGTACCAATCGAGTTCCCCTTTACGAACGACGCAACACGATGACGGAGATAAGCTGGCTATATAAAGGACGAAACTGTCATGTCGATACTTGTGCAAACAGCGTTGTAATTATCCTGATTAACGGCGATTCTCTCAGTTTTGCATTATCATGCAAGCTTTATCAATGTATCGCTAATCATTACAACAGGGTTTACGGTAATATCCAAGTCCTATCCTACGATGTATGCCGTTGAGTTTATCCGCATAGGTATAATGTCGCATAGTGTGTAAATCACACATATCGTATAATTTAAGAAACAAGGCAATTTATATAACACACTTTACACGGTGGAACAGGAGATGACACGCTTCGGCATCGTATTCATCTTGTTTCGTTATCAAGTTTACATTACATCAGAATCAATATGTTCTACACCATCCTATTTACACCGGAAGTTGTTTTCTATCGCATAGTTTCACACGACAAATGCGCTTTCGTGTAACTCTCGGTTACATAAGCTGAAATTGGTAACCCTACACTATCATATAATTTAAACCGCCCCCAAAGGTCAGCAGACGCTGTATAAATTTGCAAAAGTACCAGGCTCTGAAGGTCCCACTTAGAGCCATGCCTGGCGAGGAATTATTCAAGCTGGGCAAGGGTTAATTGCTGCCTTCATCAAACCACCTCCCTTCCTCTTTCAAATGAGCCCTTGTCGTCCGTGACATCACCGTTCTGTATTTAATCCGATTTTGTTGCGTCATAGCAATGTTGAATTCTAGACGAGGATCTAGATAAATCCATCACATAAGAGACCATCTCGGTCATAATATACATACGTTCTTTTTTATAAAGATTTATTTAAATAATTATTTTTCTAAGAAATAAAATAATATAACACACACACACACACACACACACACACACACACACACACACACACACACACACACACACACACAACGATTAAAATTAATAAAAAAAAGGAAAATTACATATATAAAATAATAAGAGCAATAAAATATTTTTAACCTGAACATTTTATCCATTATCTATCACTTTATAACTTTTGTTTGAAATGGTTTTAACATATTCTGCTGCAGAGGCAATTCACGTTGATCCTACGAGCGAGGGACGAGGTGAGCGCCGGCGTGATCGAAGAAGCGAGTTACAGCGGCATCGTCTTGCCAGGACCCACGTGGCATACTCTCAATCATCAAGGAAAAAACGCTCACTTAGCGTATCGAGTGCGAGTCCAGTGCGCCGATCATTACTACAATGCGACCTGTACCAAATTCTGCCGACCTAGAAACGACATTTTCGGCCATTACACCTGCGATGAGAACGGGGACAAAGTATGCATACAGGGATGGAAAGGCGTCGACTGCGAGACAGGTGAGTTTAAGTTTGGTCAACAACCAACGATTATTTGAGAACGTTGTTGTATGGCTATATGTCATTTTATCTAAAGTATATCCAACGTTTACATATATAAATCCTACGTTTAAATTAACTATGATGTTAAACCTTTTTGAGAAAATAATTTTCGATAAATTTGTAAATTATTTTTTACAATCTTCAAATGATAATTCTTATTTTATAAAATTATGCAAAAATGTGCACTGCAAGAAAGAAAAGTAAAGAATTTTCTTAACATATTTCAGTATTAGCACCTCAGATGTGCATCGACTTTAGAATGAATTATTGCTGATTAATCCCGCATTTATCGCATGCATAACCATGTATTACCAAGCACATTATTAATTATACCGGACACGGTATAACGTATAGGTAAAAAATGTCTACGTAAACGTATTCCTTGACCCTTCTCTGAATCCTTTTATGGAAAATTTTTAGTAAATGACTTTTATCAAAGTGTTGTATTAAAATTATTATATATTGTCATATTCGATTTTTAATTTCCTTACATCTTCATTTCATAACACGTCAGTTTTTTTGCAAAAAGAATGCGCTTTATACAAAATTGATAAGAACTTGTTTAAGTTCTTTTTTAACTTGCGAGATAACGAATTTCCTCATATAATTTTCTTATCTATAAAAACTTGTTCGTGACAGATACAAAGATATACACTGTGAAATGCGCACGCACGAAATGCATATTCTTTCTCATTGTTATCATTATTTCATTATGCATAAAGATATCTCCGATGATATCGACGCAGGCTAATTTTTACCGTCTCCTGCTGTCTAGGAAATAATTAATCGTTCATTGGAGCGTGAAAACTTGCGACTTATCGCTTATGAGTAATCGTTTATCTTAATTTCTCACATACACGCATGTACCTCTCAGCCTAATGAGGCTTGCAATTTGATTATATTAATAATTATCATGTTAATAATGGAACCGTTACGTAAATTCGATAATTTTTTAAATGGAAAAAGGATCGATCTTTATTTAAGGATTCTATTTTGCACTTGCTTTTGAGGAATCTATAAATGGTAGTCGAGATAAAAACAGAGATATTAAAAACAGTGAATTTGATAATATTTGAATATCTTGATTTTAAATTACAATATTAGACTTTTTGTCCTGAAGAATATTTATTGAGGTCTTAGGGTAACATTTTTTCATCTAACAAAGGAAGTTTCACAACTGTCCGGAACCGATTTGATTCTCCATGAAATATGTTGTTAAACACGAAAATCTAAGAGAGAGAGAGAGACACATATTTTTTTATACGTGCTAACTCATGTTTAAGAGATGAAACACCCCTTTGAAAAAAAAAACTGTATTTCTATTTCGAGCCGAATACCGTCGGAAGTGTAAAAGATAGAAAAAAATTTTTTAAACAAAAGTACGATTTCAAGAGTACTTCAATGTTGTGAAGAAAAAAAATTTTTTAAATCTTTTTATTTAACAATTATTAACAAAAAATTTTTTTAAATTTTTTTCTTGACAACATTGAAGTACTCTTGAAACCGTACAACTTTTGTTTAAAAAATTTGTTTCCATCTTTTATACTTCCGACGGTATTCGACTCGAAATAGAAATACCGTTTTTTTTTTCAAAGGGGTGTTTCACCCCTTGAACATAAGTTAGCGCACGTATAAAAAATACGTGTCTCTTAGATTTTCGTGTTTAACAACACATTTCATGGAGAATCAAATCGGTTCCGGACAGTAGTGAAACTTCCCTTGTAAGATCTGAGTAATCTAAGAAAGCCTAGAAACTACAGATACGGAAACGGACAACACGAAAAAAGATTGCGAGAAAATTGACGGCAGGACGGAAGGACGAACGAAACTGCCTACCACGTTCCGCGATTTCTATCTTTATTTCACCGTTCCGGATTCTCGTCTCCCAGGGAACGTGATTCCGTCACGTCCGCGATTTAGCGCGCAGGAAGTCGCAGTGACGAGTCAAGCCAAGAGGAAGATGAGTGTCGCTGTGCGTGGTCCCGTACGGATCGTAAAACACGCGAATTATCCCGGAGCGTGCCTCAATGAGGCGGACGTTAGACGCATGTCGTACGATCGCCACAAAGGTAGCGACACATCACGCCAGGTCCCGTCGCACAATGCTGCGCCGACCAATATAACAGCTCTTTCTTCGCTGCTTAATCGTTACTTCCGCCTTGCCGTGACCGCTCCGTGGTTACTGTCATCCCTTCTCCTTTGTGACGGGGCACAACGTATAAGGTCGATCATAAGCAGACCGACGACTCGAAGAGACCCCGACCGCGTTTATTTGATGATTCCGGCCGGATGATTAGATAGATACGTATAGTAAGTCCTCTTTCTACACTCCGGCATTTAAATCATGTAATTCGTTTTCAGAACAATTCGATTTGCACAATAGGTATTGTAGCATTAAAATAAAAATATCCAATGCTACTATAAAGAGAAGATGTGGATGAAACAACACGAATAGGTGTACAATTCCTATCTTTTGCTGCTCGAGGTTTAATATATATTTTCGTCAGAAGATATACAGATTTTGAGAATTTTATATTGAAATACATTACAAATTAAGAAGACACACATACGCGCGATATTACTTCATTATTAAATAAAGTTTGGAATATTATAAAACTAGCTAGAAAAAAAATTGAAATCTTGCCATGTGCTACGATCAAATAATAATTTGCTCACTTAGTCATTTCGCAAATTTGTTGCACGCTTATGATATTATGCTAAAGGAATTTAAATAACATTTGGTTACTTTGACGACGCTGCTTGTTTTCCTTGGCACTGTGAACTTTGAGATTCTACTGTTTGATAACCAGCAGCGACGATCATCTCCAGCCACTACTCGATAATTCGCTTTTTGCATATCAGACACGTGCGAGAGCGATAGTTATATTGCAATACTTTCGTTTCCAGTTTTAAATAAACTTCTGATTTTGTTCAAAGATCGAATCTTCTTGATATAAAGCGTGACATCTAAAAAGTTTCTCCCATTTAACAACGCGGAAAGATCGAGTTATCGTTTTGAGCACGTTCTACTTAAGTGGACGGAAAAAATGCGCGAACCCCAATTAGAAACTATCGGCGAAGATCGCGTGTTCGTGCAAGGCGATGAGTCGCAAGTCTCGGTTACTAGAGAAGATAGAAGAAACGAGAAAGAGAGAGAGAACTGGCCCCAACATTTTTGCAGCGCTGTGAAAGGTCAATAGGAGAATTTCACTCGTGCATCCTCTTCACACGATGCGCCAACTTGGTCGCGCGCGATAGAGGTAAAATCTGTGCACTAAGCGCATACGTGCTCTTTTAACATTTGACAACCATGAAAAGATCTTGTTCGTGGTAAGGCTCAGTATACGAAATTCATAAATTTGATTTGTAAAAATATTGCTCGGTTGCCTAACTACAATTGCATAGGATGATAAAATTAGACTAAGAAAAAGTTCTTAAAATTAATAACGTGCTTTCTTGTGCATTATTTGTCATCAAGAGACGAGCCTTTATCTTGCACACAACATATAAAAATAATAATATAATTACACTCTGGGAGAAAGGGTCGCATCACAACAACGACCTTCTCAACGCGTGGATTATCAACGGACAAATAAAAATTATTTCAATGCATGTAACCTGCACGGACGAATTTTCCTGGAAAACGCTTCCGCGTGAACGGTGCAGCCCAATCATAATTGTGCGCATACGAAGTACGATCGCACGAAAAATTGCAGACCGCGGGTCTGACAATCCGCCTCTTTGCGCGCAGCTGTTCCGTACAAAAAGGCGTACGATGCGGAAAAAGGAAGAGAAATGCTTTGCAAAGGGGAATCGCGCAAGTTAATTTACCTAACTGCCGGCGTATTAATCAACCGCGAGCCGTAGGCATACGAGTAGCAGCACGATCGTTTCAACCCATGGGGGATTTATAGTTTCTAAACTGTGCGAAAGGACTACGCGCGAGGCGCGCGAGAGAGTCTCCAGAGATTGTAAAAACATGGGGCAAGGCTTGATTAGCTCGATCCTCAACGACGGAAGACGACGACGTGGATGACGACGACGTTAGCATATGCATCTCGCGGGAACCGCGGCCGGCGCAGCACGGCAAGAAAAGGCAAGAAAAGGCTGTCGCGAATGCATCGTCATTTAGGGGACTCCGAAGTATCGCGATGCAGTCGTATAAATATCCGTAAATGTCCGTTGTCCGTGCCGGACGAGAGAGCGGGGCTATTAATCATTAAGAATGCCGCGGGCGGTATACGCGCGCATATATATGCGCGAATGTACGTACGCGTGTACGATAATCGCGTATGCATGGTAACGGTAAAGGTGTTGGTACACGGCCGACTGAAATCTCGAAAAGACATACGTATAGTATACGTATGTGCACACGATCGAGCGCGCGGCATGAGTTTTCGTTTCACGGTTGGAGGGATAATCCTTCTCTCTGTCACTTCTCATCTGTCTTTCTGTCCCACCGGCTAATTGAGTTGCCCGGTCCCGGCGAGATCCCCGTCGCGTACGTCCTCTTTTCCGTTCCTTTTTTTATCCTGGCGAGAGGACGGGAAGAAACCGAGGCGTCATCGTCGCCGCATCTTCCTTGCGTTTCATCGTTTCCGGAGATGTGCTCTACCCCGACCGCACCGAAATTAGTTTTCCTGCAACCACCTGTACAAAGAAGCGTACCTGTTGCTTTGATACTTCTTCTCGCGTCTAGTATAATCGAAATATCTGCAGGTAATCATGCGTATTCCTTTCCGAGAAACCGTAAAAAACCTCACTCGTCAGTCCTTCCGCGTTTGTCTCGACGCATACACCAGTTTCGTTCATTACATCTCCGCTAATTACATTTGCCCCGACTCTATGACTGATACGTGTCGCATGTCGCGCACATAAAACGAATAAGAGACTTAATCCGTCTACGTCACCATCCACAGATGTCCGTAGATATCTCGAGACGATTCTTTTCGAATCTTTCATTCAACAGCTACATATAATCGATGGGTAGAACTTAAATCTCTTAAGAGTACGCAAAGTATATTAATCTTCGCGATACAGTTATATCTTACTTATAATGATTGGAAAGTAAATGAATATAATGGGAAAGTGTTACACGTCTGAAACTATGCCGCTGTGACAAAACCGTCTTTAGTGAAGTTCTTAGAAATTATTACGGATCATTAGAACCTTAAGCGCTTCGGATTGAGGTTCTCGCGCGACCACAGCATATCATAATTTGGAAAAATTGTTTCAGCCGTGTGCAAGGAGGGCTGTCATCCCGTGCATGGCCATTGCAACGTCAGCGGTGAGTGCCAATGTCGGCACGGCTGGCGCGGTGAGCTGTGCGACCAATGCATGCCTTATCCCGGTTGCAAACACGGTTATTGCAATGGCTCGAGCTGGCAATGCATCTGCGACACGAACTGGGGCGGAATACTGTGCGACCAGGATCTCAACTATTGCGGCACCCACGAGCCATGCCAGAACGGCGGTACGTGCGAAAACACTGCTCCCGATCAGTACCGGTGCACATGCCCGGAGGGCTTCTCCGGGCCTACCTGCGAAAAAATCGACAATCCTTGTGCGTCTAACCCATGCCTGAACGGCGCGACCTGTCGCGAGCTCGGCGAGACCGCGCAGTGCGAATGCGCCCCGGGGTTCTCCGGACCATTTTGCGCGACCGACATCGACGAGTGCGCTTCGCAACCGTGCCAGAACGGCGGTACCTGTGTAGACGGCAAGAACGGCTTCCTCTGTAACTGCCCATTTGCCTGGAAAGGCGTGCTCTGCCAGTTTGACGTGGATGAGTGCACGCTAAAGGAATCGCCCTGCAAAAACTCCATCACTTGCATCAACTTGGCCGGTGATTATAGGTAAGTATCACTGTCTCTGTCAAAATTCATCAAATACACGTCGTGCCTTGTGTATTTGATGAAAATACTGGTAGAATTACATATATTAAACGGTTTGATAAAAATGTTTTTATTAATACATAAAAAAATAACTAATTAACATTTGATAATTATAGAAGATATATGAAGATATTGACATTTGTTATTATCATATATCGCATATATTATTAACTGATTTGATATAAATATATATTAATGACATATTAAAAATCAATGCTGTTTGAAGAGTGAAGACAAATTGATATTATTCCAGTAAGCTGGAATCCTGTTTAGTTTTTCTTTTGTTTTTAATACAATGCGTTACGTACATACAACAATATATTAGAAATTAATTTATAGATCGTTTTCCTTCATTTACCGTAGTACAAGGCGTTAACAATAATAATAACAATACATTTTTATATTTTTTAACTTACAAGAGCATTGTAATGACTCGTTTTACTACCTTCGCCGCTCGTAAAATAATAATTGGCGCAGAAAAAAAATTATAGTTGCGAGCGATTGCATTAAACATTAAGGATCCATTATTTCTTCGTGAAACGGCAATTAATAAATCATCACACACACAGGAAACTAAATTATATTTAAGTCTAACTCAAATTTCCGTTTAAACGATTTTTTTGCAAGTCGCAACCTTGCCATTTACAAGTTTCATCGTTTCGTTTCGCAGATGCCGATGCCGGAGCGGATTTACCGGGAAGAATTGCACGAAGAATATCAATGACTGCGTCGGCCAGTGCCAACACGGTGCGCTCTGCATCGATCTGGTAGATGATTATCATTGCAGCTGCACTCCCGGTTACTCCGGCAAGGATTGTGACGTTGATATCGATGAGTGCGCGTCCAAGCCGTGCCAGAACGGCGGCGATTGCCGCGATCTGGTGAACGCTTACGAGTGCGTGTGCCCGGTTGGCTTCACTGGCTACCAATGCGAAATCGATCGCGATCATTGCAGTCCGAATCCGTGTCGCAATTCGGCACCATGTTTTAATACGCAGACTGACTACTACTGTCACTGCCCAGCACAGTGGCAGGGCAGAAATTGCTCGGAGCCGGCCTTGAATAATCCGCAATTCGGTGTGGACGACGAGCAGTCGGGCTGCGGCAGCGAAGGTACTCCATGCGGCGGTAAGGGCCGATGTAGTGGCGGCAGATGCATTTGCGATCCGGGCTACACCGGCGTACATTGCCATGAGAATATCAACGATTGCCGCGGCAATCCCTGCTTGAACGGCGGTACGTGCGTTGACCTGCTTAACTCGTTCCAGTGCATCTGTAGGGAGGGCTGGAGTGGAGATCTTTGTGACCAAAGTAAGTAATAGAACATTTAAGAAATGTGATAAAATGAAAATTTGGTTGATTTAAACGCGATATTATGTGATAAATGAATTCTTCTAGATGTGGATGACTGCTTGACACAGCCTTGCCACAACAACGGTACCTGCGTAGACGGCGTGGCAGATTTCACGTGCATCTGCCAGGGCGACTGGAAGGGCAAGACGTGCACCCTGCGCCGCGGCCACTGCGATGAAGACACTTGTCGTAACGGCGGCGATTGCAAGGATCACGGGGACAGTTTTACGTGCAACTGCCCACGCGGATGGGAAGGCACAATCTGCCACATCGCATCGCCATCAGCGTGTACGAGTAATCCTTGCGCAAATGGCGCAACTTGCGTAAATACGGTTGATGGCAGCTACCGATGCGTCTGTCGTGAGGGCTTCGAAGGACCGGACTGCCGAAGCAATGTGGACAATTGCCAACCAGTGCCATGTCTAAACGGTGGGAAATGTGTGGACGGTGACAATTGGTTCAGATGCGAATGCGCGCCCGGGTTTACTGGCCCGGATTGTCGCATTAACGTGAACGAATGTGCGAGCGATCCGTGCACCGGAGGTGCCACCTGCGTAGATGGCATCGCGAGCTACTCATGCATTTGTCCACCTGGTAGAACCGGTCCGCGATGTGAGATCCGAACAGCTGGTGGACCCGGTTGCACAGCCGCTACGTGGGAGGATGAATGCAACGTATGCGAGTGTCGGAATGGTAAGAACCAATGCAGCAATGTCTGGTGCGGACCGGGTAACTGCTTGAACGGCACCTCTTGCTTGGCTCACGAGGTCTGCGTTCCTAGTCCGGGGGAAAGTTGTCTAGCACCATCGTGTCCAGCGTGGGGCGAGTGTCGTCCTATCGAAACTGGCAGACGAGTCGGTCCACCGGCGCTACCAGCTCCTCCATCCTGCTGGCCCGGACAAACCACGCTTGGACCAACTTGCTCGAGACTCACGATACTACTGCGGAGGGACACCTTGGCGTCTGGCACGTCGGTGGAACTATTGTGCCGTCGTTTGAGGAAACTATTGGCCGATCCACGAAGACCGCAATCGGTAGTGTTACTGTGCGATCTGAAGCCCGGTGACAACGATACGATAGAAGTGACCATTTTCTCCGAGGCGGCAGCGGACGCGGCCCGCGATCTCGGCGAAACACTCAGTCGTCCATTAGCCAGACCTCTCGTATTAGTTTCTGTACTAGAGGTCAAAGTAGAGACAGCGTTACTTAGCGAACCTAGTTTGGCGAGTGCGGCTAATGCCAGTAGTTACGTGACTGTTTTGGGTAGCGCTCTGGCGATTGTGCTGCTATTGGTGCTATTCGGTAGCCTCTGGTACCTCAAAACTATGAGGCATAGATCGAACCTGACGGCGACTACCAGCAGCGAAACTTCGTTACACCGTCATCGCAGCGATCTAGACGAAAAGTCGAATAATCTTCAGAACGAGGAGAATTTGAGGAGATATGCCAATCCTCTCAAGGACCAGGATTCCGAACCCCGCGTGTCCGTTGTGAGGCCTCTGTCAGGCACTTCGCTTGGCACATTGACCGGCACCGAGGAGAGTCTCGAAATGGTATCTGAAGAAGGCAGACATCGTTTGCCACCACTCTATAAACCGCCCAGCGCGGAAGCTAGGAACAATACGGCCAGTTTTAGCTATGAAGAAGGACCGCATAAGCCTTACATCAAGCCCAGACTGCAGGAACCGATGTACCCTCATCAGCAACCAGGTACCAGTCAGACGTCGGGGCCGCATCAAGTGCTAACGGTACACGTGTGATTAAATATCATTAAAGTAATGTGAAGAACAGTGATTTTTTTATTTTTCTTGCATACACGATGCACCAGTGAAAATTCTTAGAGATTTGAAAGGTAATACGAGAGGAACTGAACTTTACTTGAACGATCTATTTTTTGTGATAATGGGAAATGACTTTCGATTTCGAGACTAACTTGAGATGGCTCTTTTCAGGTTCTTCTTTATGAAAGTTGAACCAATGTTAGAATATATTAGGGACAAATGCAGAGAAAAAAGAAAGAGGACGATTCTTATAGGGCTCAGCAATACCATTATGTTATAAGATAACACATAAATTTTCAATGCCTCTCCGAAGCGCATTTTTATGATAGCTTCATTTATAGTATTATTAGAATATGACTATTAAAATTTTCAATTTCTAAATAATTATAAAATAATTAGCAAAAATATTAGTATTATTTTCGGGTTGAAAAAATTTAGAAAATAATTAAAATTTATTTCCTCTCTTTTTCTCCTCATCCGGCCCTTTCATGCTTTTATATGACGACAATAAACGATTGACATTTATAAATAATTTTAATGATAATGATCAGTTGTTATCGTTGTACATATGTACATAGCTCGTACTTATTAATTTCGCTAAGCCTGTATTTCCTCCGCATTATCTTCGGCGTTGCCATTCTTTTCTTTTGTTCGCGCCCTCGATTTTATATGTTTATATTTAATCTTATACTCTTTTGATATTACTATATATAATATGTCGCCATTGTTAGCATTTTTATTTTCATAATTTAAAAAATAGGATGGCATCGTCGCACCTACGAGATGTATTGTACGTTTGTCATGTATAATTGAAGCAAAGCTGCGCTTTATTCAGGATTAGAAGATACATAGCATGTAAATAAATTTGATAAAAAATATGAGAATTTCTTTAGGTATCATTTGTGTTTAATATATCGCGCAGACAATCGCTTGATCATCGTACGTGAAAGTATGCTTTGTATGATATAACGTGGGCTTCAAACGTTCCTTCAGACGATATTATTGTGATACTTATAGAAGAAACAACGTTATTGTATAGCATTACTATGGTACTCTGCGTGTTCATTTACTTCACTTGCTCGAGTTTTATTTTTTTCGCGAAGACACGACACGTGATTTTTATGCGATGGAAAATATTGCCATTGCGAGAGGATGTGCTACACGACACGCTAAATCGCGGCGGCACATTGACTTGTAAAGAACATATTAGCGGCGCAAATGTAATATGATTTAGAACGTATTCGAACACAGAATAAAAACGATGTACATAGTGACGCTATTGCATCGTGGAACGATGTAAATAAATCTAAGTACACATGTCCAAATCGTTTTCATCCCGAGTCATTATCGACCCACCCTTAGATGTGCAATTCGTTTTTTTTATACTAGCATTTTTCGTATTCTCTAGCAAAGTGTCAACAGACTAGTTTAAACTGAGAAACATAGTTCGTTTTAGGCATACATAGATTTATGCAAGCAAGAAGGAACCAAGTTTTATAATAAATACTTTATTTTGTAGAGAAAGCTATATTATTGTACGAATACACATAGAAGAGAATGAGAAAAATGATGAATATATATATATATATACAAATATATATAAAGATAGATTATATTATTTTATATATTATATTTTTATTTTATTATTTCGTATTAATTATTTTCAGATCATAAGCAGTAGTTGATCATTGTCATACAATTTTTTGTTCACTCACCGTCTTCAAAGCGAATGACAGCATTAAAAATCCGGCACACTAATGCTTTTGGTCTAATTGACGATAAACAATTAAGAAGCATCCACGTTGTGATTTTTCTTGTTTGATATCGAGAAATGTGCAAATGAATGCGTGTATATAAGCTCCCTCCTACTATTCCCTCTTCTCACTCTTCCCCCGCATAGGTTTATGACGATGTGAAGGATTTCAATAAAAAGTACAATTACCATTCGACATAGCGTTTACGATTTATTATACCTTTGCGTCAATGCTTCGATGACAACGCTCACATAAGCATTCCCGGCATTGAAATCACTGAAAAAGAATAGTTAAACGTGAAAGAACAAAATTATATATTCTCGCAACAACTTCCGATAATAAACATCATAATATTTTACATTTAATTAACAAAGCCATATTATTTTTTTGTTATTTTTGTAAAGATGAGAAAAACCTTACAAAAAATTATGATAAAGCTGTTGGAATTATCGAATTATCTTCATTGTTCGCTAGCCAATTAAGAAGTCATAAATCCATTCGCTTCTCTTCAGAGATAGAGATACGGGCGGCGGATTTTATCAGCGGCGCCGATTTCAATGGCCCGTCACGATTGTTTCATTAGAGATAATACCGATGCCATTACCATCGAAAGCGCGGTCGAGATTAACAAAACGCTTGGCGGGTTATCTCGTCGTTGCTGCGACGAGACGGGACGGATCCTCTCGTGCACGAAGCACGTACCGCTGAATGAATGATCTGCCGAAATTACAATACAATGGACCAGAAGAGCCACTTGACAAATACCCGGTAGATGAATCATGCACGATAAACGATTTGGCTCGTGTGAAACGCGATAGTAGCCGCCGATCGCCGCAATAGCTTATATACCTTTTATTACTTGTAAAATACATTTATTATTGTGAACTTATGTATTATTCCAAAGACAAAGAATTTATTATATTAAATATTACATTTGTTTTAATATTATAATTATGCAACGTTTCATTTAATTTCCATAAATCTGCAGCTAATTTCACGTAGCGAAGTGTTGTAAATTTAAGAATCATGTGTTACGTCTTGATATAATGATATTTATATTTATATAAATTTTCATTATATCACCAATTTTGTTGAACGAATTATAATAAGTACACCACCCATAAATATGGATTTCACACAAGTATTTAAGCAATAATGTGATTTCTACAATGTATAATTCTTATATACTTTCTTTTTCACAACTGAAAGAATAAATATATTCGAACCATTTTCATATATTTTATGTTTAAAATAAAATCGTATGTGATATCAAATTAGTAATGAACGATAACAATTAAGATATAATTACAAATAACCTTATATAAATTTCGCAAACATCATTCAGATATTGGAAGACATCGAAGATGTTCCCGAGGCATTGCAAGATGAAGAAACAGATGCGTGGATCGATTATGATGAAGATGAAACCGTGGAGGATGAAGAGGAAGAGGAAGACATCAAAATGGAGTCAGAAGACAAATCTGAAGCTGTGGAAGAGGAAAGAAAAGATATCGAAGCGGAACCAGAAATAATTGACGAGACTGACATATTCACTGATTTTATGATGGAATTTGAAGCAAAAAGGACAAAGGAATTTGCGGTCAAAGCTGAAGAGAAGAAGAAACAGCTGCGGCAACTGATGCGTGTAACTTGAGCGTGGTAACTTGGTAGCTTAACATTTCAGTAATATACAGAAAGTCCTGTATTTCGATGTTCGCAATTCAATTTTATTAGATAAGTATGTCGTGATTCTAAATAATTAAGCTACCATAACACAAATGAATGACAGGACCGATCTGTCTTTAATTTTGAATAAATCTCTAGTCAAGCGCTATGATATGAAAGGTAGGTTGGACGGAAGAAAGATGATGACGCATCTGAAGAAACGCCGATCACGCCGGAAGATGAAGATATTATGAGTGATCAAGTATCCACTGAGAGTTCGATTCATCCATGTTTACGCAAGATAAATATCAGTGATTCCCAGCTGAAATTAGTGAATCCGTATACGGTATACCAGGTTCCGAACGATCCCGGATTGCTACCAGCTTTCTGGCTGTTACGTGAGCGCCCGCCAATTTACAGCACGGATGGCGTGCAGAAATTCTATGACATAGTAAAACGTGCCGGTTTGAGATCGATCGGTTCGTTAAAGGATATGCTCTTAACGGATCAATTAAATCTACGTTATTATGGACTTAAATCACCAGTAATGAAAGCGATCTGTGAGGCTTTGGCCGACAACACTTTTGTGCGAAAACTGGATTTGAAGGTACAATAAGTTCAAGTAACAATTTATATGGATTGTATAAAATCCTAAATAAAATAATCCTAAATATCTTAAAATACCATGAAAACGATGATTATCTGTTTGAAAACTGCAGATTAGAACTTGAATTTTTTGCTCTGTGGTACAAATGTTACTTTGCGTTGATTAATAAAATATTTTCTTTTCAATTAATTATTTTATTATATTTTTTATTATAGGACAATAAACTATCCGCGAATGCGTGCAGATATCTAAATGATTTACTACTTAGAAACAACACGATAATCGATTTATCACTATCGGGTTGCCGAATTGGCACGAATGGCGCAAAAAAGTTGTACGATGCAATATCGGAAAACGCAATCCTGAAGATGCTCGATCTCAGCAGTTGCGACATCGGCAATGAAGGCTTCGAATACATCGCCTCTGCATTATCTAATAATCAAGACTTGGAGAGTGTTGATCTATCCGACAATCATCTGGATGAGACGTGCTCAGAAAGTCTGCAGAATCTGCTCTCGCACTCCAAAAGCTTGATGCATCTGAACTTATCCTGGAATTCTCTGTACAACGCAAAAACCTGGAAAGCTCTGAACGATGGGCTCAAGAAAAATGAAACGTTGCGTTCCCTGAATTTATCTTGGAACGCACTTGGACAGGAATGTGTGCCTCGTCTTTACAACCTATTATCACGCTCGCGGAACATTGAGAAGCTGAACTTAAGTTGTAAATATGTATCAGATTTTTTAAAATGCATATATTAACGTTTCTACGCACACAATTATAAAAGAAATAAAAATTAAAAATCGTCAAAGTACACAAAAAAGAATCTTATCAAAAATAATCTTCTCCTTATTTTTTTTTTTTAAAGAATGGTAATTTTTTCAACGTTCTTTACTTATATATTTCATTATACAGGGTGTTTCCAAATTAAATGGCAAAACTTCGGGAGCGTGTAGAGGAGTAAAAAACTAAGAAAAAAAGTCCTATAGACATATGCTCCTTTTTGCTTTGTTTCGCAGGAAATCACGAAAAAAGAAAAAAATATATTTAATTTATTATTTTAATTATTTTATTTATAAACTTTTTAATGAAGATTTTGTTCGAAATGTGCACCTCTTGCAGCAATACAAGCATTGCATCTGTCAAACACGGCTCTTGTAGCAGCCAGGCACTGTTCTTGCGATATTCTGTTCGCTGCAGCTACGATACGATTTCTCAAATGTTGCTCTGATTGAATAGGCGAAGAATAAACTTCTTGCTTCAGAGTACCCCATGCATAGAAATCTAATGGCGTTAAGTCGGGCGAACGAGTTGCCCAATGTACTGCTCCTCCACGTCCAATCCATCGTTGTGGGAATTTTCTATCTAACCAGGTTCTAGCGACTCTGCTGTAATGAGCAGGGCATCCATCTAATTGAAACCACATTTCAGTACGTTGTTGTAATGGGATGTTTTCTAAATAGTCAGAAAATTCATTCTCCAAGAAATTTAGAAAACGGTCCCCATTTAATCTTGCAGGTAAAAAAAACGGTCCCACTAAAACGTCGTTCCAAATTCCAAGCCAGACATTAACAGAAAACTCTTGCTGAAATTTGTATTCTCTAACAGACCTGGGATTTTGATGAGCCCATAATTCCTTTGATTAATTATTCCACCTCTGGTAAATGTTGCCTCATCTGACCACATTATTTTAGATGGAAATAAAATATCATTGTGGCATGTCTGAAGGTACCAGTTACAAAAGTTCAATCTGTTCCAATGATCTTGAGGTAATAAATTTTGCACTTTTTGAATGTGGTAGGGATAGCGATTATCTCCTTTTACAGTTCGCCAAATTGTTTGTGGTGACACTCCCAATACAGCCGACGCATTCCGAACGCTGGTCTCAGGATGATTGTCAAAATGTTGTAAAATACGATTCCCTGCCTGCAAATCTCTTCGTAACGCTGCTTGAAATCGGTTGTTTTCTTGTCGAATTGAAAATGTTCCAGTCTCTCGCAATCTATTAAATGTCAACATAAACACTCTTCGGTTTGGCACTCTTCTGTTTGGAAATCGTCGTGCATATTCTCGCACCGCCTTTAAAGCATTACCGTTGCAGAAACCGTATACAAAAACCATATCAGCATATTCACTATTAGAATACGTACGCGGCATATTGCAAAAGACAAAATTCATCTACTGTTAAAGGCTTTCAAAGAGCGACTGACAAATTCATAACAGAAAGTGGAAAATGTAATCAAATATGTCGGTGTTAGATATGGCAAGAAATGTAAACATTTTTTTTCGATTTCTCTGAAACGGAGCAAAAACGAGCATATGTCTATAGGACTTTTTTTCTTAGTTTTTTACTCCTCTACACGCTCCCGAAGTTTTGCCATTTAATTTGGAAACACCCTGTATAATAAAAACGGAATGGAAAATGTAAAATTCGTTTTTATATAATGAAAAACGAAATAAAAAGTGTCATAAAATATGAATATCTAGCAGTCACTTGAAATATTTTCTCATAGGAAATAAATTCCAAAAAACGTGTTCTTTTCTTAAAAAAAGATTAATTTTTTGCGATTCAAAGGGAATAGATTTACCGAAGAAGATGCTGAGATCATCGCAAAAGGTCTATCGAAAAATAATACGCTTCAGGAATTACATCTGGGAAACAACCCTTTGAGAGCACAAGGTGTTTCAGCTTTGGTTCACGCAATTACGCCGAATCTATCGCTCAATAGTGCTTTACATCTTTTGGATTTAGAGAACATTTGGGCGAATAAAGATATTCTTGAAGACTTGGAGATAATCGAAAAATTCCGACCATGGGTTACAATCAAATTAGGTGGTATTCTGAGCAATTATCATCTCGTTGGGCCAAATATTCAAAGAATACTTCTGAAGAGAGCAAATTACGAGGCAATGTTACCGAAACGAAAAAGGCAACGACGCAACTTCGGCCAATTTGTGATATCGTTGACAGATAAACAAATATCACGAGGCATGTTCGCGCGAATTTATTATAGATTTTTTCTTAGTTTTCTCCATTTATGAGAAGTCATAATCGTTCGTATTTTAAGAAAATAAAAAACAGGTTTCTTCATTCTTGTAGCAAAATTTATACAGCTAGTGCAGAAGTTCAAGCTAAAGCTTTCTACGTCGCTTGTTGACGAGATAATGAATGCATTCGAGGGGCCGCATGACACTGTCGATCAAAAACTGTTAAAATCATTTTATTTAGAAGAATATCCAGAAATGACATTATTAACATTGAAGAAAAAGAAATTAAAAAACATCAAACAAAAAAAAGAGAAGTAGAAAGTGAAATGAACAAAGAACAAAAAAATACAAAAAACAAAAATTAATGTAGAAAATAATAAAAAATAAATCAAAGAATTAAAAAAATATACATTATATTGTTAAGTAATAAATGACTGAAAGAAATTCTGAAACCTCTTTATAATATTATATTACATATTTCACACCATGATAGATTATAATAAATATCATTTTGCAAAAATTTATCAATCATTAATTTTTGCTTTTAATGAGGTACTGAATATCAATATCTGAATTTATATATATATATATATATATATACACATATATAAAATTTAATCTATATAAAATATTCTTGCTGCAATATCATCAACAATCCAATTGATACCATCGACTAGATTTTCACCTGTCACAGCAGAACACTTATAAATTTGCCAATGATGAGTCTTTATATTGGGTAACTCCAGAATGTCGGCTATATCAGCTGCAGATAACGCACCAGGCATATCCTGCTTATTGGCAAAAACAAGAAGACTTGCCCCTTCCAATCTTTCCTCTTGCAAAAGCTTGTACAATTCTATTTTACAATCATCCAATCTCCTTTTGTCTGCACTGTCTATCACCCAAACAAGTCCATCTGTTGACTCGAAGTAATTTCTCCAGTAGGAACGCAGTGATTTTTGTCCACCCACATCCCATACATTAAGCTTGTATCCGCGATGTTCTAATGTCTTGATATTAAAGCCAAGCGTGGGCGATATAGTGTCTATTGGTTCACCATTGAGTCTCTTCAACACTGTCGTTTTGCCTGCATTATCCAAGCCCCTGAAATTTTAACATGATAATGCAAATGAGGAAACGCGTAGATATATATTTCCAAATGATTATTCTTCAATTATTTAATGCATTGTAAATTCAGCAAGCATAATATTTATTAACCTGTCAATGTGTAAATCAACCACAAGCTGGATATATAAAATAAATACACAAACACAAATACGTACAACATTAAAATTCGCATCTCCTTTTCTTTCTGCTTCAATTTTTTCAGCACCGTTAACAGACCCATTGCCAATCCATTAATTACTCCACGATGTTCAGATTGTTAACAAATAAATGTTTATATGCGAACAAAATTCCTTCGAGTTGACAGAAACGTTTCTAACCCTAACCTCCAATCCACACTTGTCAATTGACCACAAATTACACAATTGATAAAAAGCACGTGTAAAAACGCCACACCTTGTACTGACTAGGTACTATTATTAAAAATGATCAGCTGAGTAAATTTTTATATCAAGTGAGTGACGGATATATAATTGTATATAGTATGTAGAAAAAAATTAAGTCCATCATTATCAACTATCGATATAATTTTTTTATCAATATATTAAATATAAAGCTATGACGATAATATGAAATTGTAATTCAAAAACTTTCTGATTGTTTATATAATTTTATATTTTCCTATATTTTTATTTACATTTTTTTGGAATACGAGTATTTTATTTTAGAGACTTATATTTTATTCATATTAAATTCAATGACAATTAAATATGTATGTATGTGTTCTTGTTAAATAAATACTAAAATTCACAATATCATAAATTTCCAATAAATTTTTTGTAACGTTGACAAATCATGGAATGCTTGCATGACTACACGGTTAAAAAGTTTATATGTATTTAATTATATATATAAACTTAATTATATATAAACGGGCTTTAGTTGAAAGTTAAATAGTTTTCAACGGGCCGGTTGAAAGTTAAATAGTTTATCAACATCGTTTGCCAACTTTACTGTTAATAAGTAGCATAAAACTAACACAATAATAAAAAAAAAACTTGATATTATCTTACATGCAATCTCACATTTATAAAATAGAAATGCAATCAATAAGGATTATTAGTAATGTCTTTCTAATAATACTTTTGCTGCTTTACTAATAACTTCTGGATGACATAAAGCATTGATAAGTGATTCAAAAAATGAGTCATATTGAGGATTAGGTACATAATCTCCAGATGCACTTGTTTCTTCTGGTGGATACTTCTCCTTGTCTCTTTTACGTCTTTCTTCAATAAATTCTTTAAATTCGTGCTCCTTTGCATCAGGTAACAATTTAATATAATAGGGATACTCTTCAGCTAATTCTGTTGCGGTCTCTGGTTTAGGTTTAGGTCTTTTCGCTGGTATTTTTGGAACCGTCCCCGTTTGTTTCTCCTGTTCCTCTTCTTGTGCACGTTCAACAGCGCATTCGACCTAATGAAATAGTTTTATAAATTAAACATAAATTCTATTTGTATTTAACCAACAATATTGATATTTCTTAGAAGAAAAAATTACTTCTGTTGTATAATATGTAGTTAACTTATTCGGAAACTGATTATAATCTCCCATCTTGGCTATTATCAATTTTACTAGAGCTTCCTCGACTCGTGCTCTGCTATCTGTTTTTAGTTTTCCCCATATATTAACGCTTACATTGACTTTGTCTAAAGATTCCACATAATGCCACCAACCATTAGGCACAAATAAAACATCTCCAGGTTCTAGAGTTATTAATTTTGGTTTGTTTGGTATATCCAACAAACAATCTTTTTCTTCTTCACTTAGGCAATAAATATTAAATCTGCTATATACAGTCGACTCCTCATAAGGAAGTCTAACTGGTATCAGAGAAGCATTAGGTGGATAAAGTAACCATTGTTTCCTACAAATAAAATAGGTACAATATGAATAGAGATAATTCATTCGATAGCGTAATATTCCAGAAACAAAGATAATATTAAAACTAAAAAATAATTGAAAAATACGAACCTGCCATGTATTTGTGCTACTAAATTATAACCATAGGTATCCCAATGACAATCAGTATGAGCGCCTTTGCCTCCAATCCAAATAGTAGAATGCATTCCATTTTTACCAAGTTCTTTGTCAATCCCGAATTTGAGCCAATTAAAAGATTCTATAATGTCTGTATTATCGCTGAGCCACTCCTTTATATGCTTATAATCACAGTAATGCCATATATTATTCTGTTTTGTTTCTTGTAAATCAATAAATTCTTGAAACGTTAATTGAAACGGTTTTGCAGGAGGACTCAAGCACCAATGATGATGTTGAAGAACACACTAAGAAATTGATTCAATTCAAACTATTAATAAAATTATCAATAAAATCATTAAAATAATATATAAATACAAATATATCGCTGTAACTTACTGTACGCTTGTTATGATTACCAACTCGAAATGGTAACTTCTTATTTCCAAACTTTTCAACCAATTCAGTCAGACTCCACTGAAGTAATTTCCATTTATAAGAACCATCAGAATTTTGTAACATGTTCTGAAATAATATAGGTTCTTCAAGTTCTGGTAGAATTTCTCTCAGAATGTCTTCCAACGGTTGTAAATGACAACTCATATTTTTAATTATCTTATAAGGTACAATTGTTAAAATTAGTCACTTTTCTTATCTTAATTGAATAATAAAATAACTGATCCTTCGAGATTATTGATTTAAATTAAATAAATCTCTCAAACTACATATTGACAATGTAGTAGCTTGTACACAATAATCTTTCAAATACTGTCTTGTTTGTAAACTTTGATATTATCTCATTAATATTAAAATATATGTGATAATTCGACGAAAAAATATTCACCAATGCTGGATTCACATTGCAACATCTAATCTAACGTATATACGTATGATAATAAGTGTGGTCCACTTGGCGCAACAAATGCTTCGAAGCGTTTAATTGACCAATCGGAAGAAAGAATTTTACTAATTGACCAATCAAAAAATGCTTCGAAGCATTTGTGGAATCAAGTGGATTTAGCCGTAGCCAATATGACATCCAATAACAAGAGAATTCGCTTATTCCTAGGGTTTCTAGTTAGACATTTTTGTCCAGGAGGCAATTCTCCTATTGGATTTGGAAACAACGCGAATCCTGCATAAAACATCAAGATTTGTTTGCCTTGCTTGAAATCTTTAAAAATATTTATATCAAAATAAGATAAATATGTATTTGGGCTTTTAAAATTTAATAATTTTATATGTTCTAACAATATGTTCTAAACTTTTGAAACCTACTTTCAAAATCTAGTAATGTTTTAAAATAAACTTTTTTAGCGGTTTCGACCCGACCGGGTTTGCACCAACCTGGGTTGGATTAATCTTTCCTATTGGTGACGTTACACGCTCTACCAATAGGAGAGCACAAAACGCCATTATCCCCAAATATATAACCCGATCGGGCCGAAAACGCATTCGATAGTGATTTTCAAAATCTTATCTTTAAAATTTCATAACTTTTAAAAGCGTACTTTTGTAATTAATATTTGGATTAAAACATTTGGATAAATATAATTTTTTTGCTCATTTTGAAAAACTAACGGTCACGATATACGGATATCTAGACATGATACGTACATTGTGAATCGTGAATACGATAAATTTGGTGTAAGTTCATGTGATAAGGTATTTATGATTCATGACGCCGAGTTGTATAGTTACATTGAAGCTTGTGATTTTTCTCAGAGATTTACATTGCGCAATAAAGTAATTGAAAATAAGCTGAAATGAAAAAGCCTCCTTTACACATACTTTAATGTACGGGATTCAGGTGGCACAAAAACGAGGCTAATTAAATTTGGCAACGAAAGGTACATTGCGTTATCAAATAAAGCATGTGTTATTTTTCTAACCTAATTATGTCTTTACAAATGATAATAATCTTATTTCTTGACGTCGTAATATTTCTTTAATTTGATTACAACGTATATCATGACTTTGCATTTATCTTTTGGCCTCTTTTTCTGTTACAAATTTATAATAACATTCTTGGTATTACATTTGCTTTAAATACAAATTCTGTTTTGTATCCTGCTTAAAATAATTTAAGACTATATAACATTATATTAATACATATATATAACAATATTTTTATAAATTTAAAAATGAAAGCAACAATTTTAATGTTTTTGTGAATAAAAGTTTTTAGTGCAGTTTAATATGATCACGTTACGAGGAAAACTCAAAAAGGACAATGACATAGCAAATTCAAAGAATTACAACAGGCGAGTCTCGATACGAGATAAATTACTGATCAAAGAGGTCAATTTGATATAATATTTCTTACATATCACCATGTATGACAATGATATAACATAGGAATTCTAACCAAGCTGATGTTGAATTATTTTTCTTAGGTACAGGAAATGGAACAGACGTTGCCAGTAACTTGTAAAGTCACATTTAAAGATCCACATTGTCTTCATGAATTTATCTTGTTAATTATGCCAGATGAGGGATATTGGATTGGTGGCCATTTCTATTTTCAAATTTACATAAGCGAAGATTACAATATGGTGGTAATTTTATATTCTTTGATTTTTATATGTTATCTCAATTTACTTGTAATTATCTTAGAATTACCTATTAAATAGCATCGCCAGTGAGCTTTGTAATACACTACTGGAACGCACTTTCCTTTCCTATACTGAACTAGAAGATAAAAGAAAATAAAAGAAAAAAACTGCAGCTTGACAAAGAAAAGGAAGACAAACAAATGAAGGGAAACATGTCTTTATGATTCTTTCCAGCAAACAGCATTAGCCAATCAGTGAGTTCTTGATATAAAAAACTGTTTTTGCATCAGAAGATATGGTCAATGTAATGCTTTGAAGCATTCTTTGATTGGTCAATTCATAAAATTCTTTCTTTTGATTGATCAATCAAATGTTTCAAAGCATTCATAATAAGGCTGATATCCCATGGATGAAAATTTACAGTGAAACAGAACAGCGAGACCAATCACAACTCTGCAGTCATTACCCTAACTTTCCTTTCTATAGTTGTGATTGGTCTCGCTCCGTTCTGCTGTAAATTTCCGTTCATGGGGACACCAGCCAAGATTTTAACCCCATCCAGAGTATCATTGTCTAAAAATTGGGATACCCCTATTCCTCAATGGTGCGTTCCAGTATATTATAGAGCTCACTGGACATAGTATGTCTTAATTATAGTGCATTTATCAACGCATTAAGATATCGCAAAGGAAGAGAAAGGAAAGGACTTTTTCTTCTTATCCCTTTCCTTTAGAAAGGAAAGAGAAGACGGAAATATTTGTCAATATGAAAATCGAAAGTTGCGACTGAATTCTCATTGTGTTAAATAATATTTTTCAGCCGCCAGTGGTAAAATGCTTAACGAAATTATGGCATCCTAACATAAGCGAGGATGGCGATGTATGCCTATCTATTTTAAGACAAAGTAGTATTGATGGTATGGGATGGGCACCAACACGCAAACTAAAAGACGTTGTATGGGGTTTAAATTCTCTTTTCACTGTACGTATACAAGCATTTTCTGTTGCAACTCGTTCGATTGATGCGATTATGTTGAACATATTATATATGTACTTGTGCTCCTTTCAGGATCTCCTAAACTTTGACGATCCTTTGAATAGAGATGCAGCAGATTTGTTCATTAAGGATAAAGAATCTTTTCGAAGTAAAGTTAAAGATTATGTAATGCAATATGCAAAAAGATGATTTACATTGTAACATTTTAAGTAACAAATAATTATTTACATTTTTCAAATTGGTTCCGTGCCTCTTTTTAGTATATGAGTACAGAATTTGCTCAAATCTGCTTTAGGTTAACTATGATTTAACTCAATTTAATATTGCTAGTCTTTTTACCTGAAAGAGATTGTCATCACTTTCAGTTTCATGTAATTCAATTTTCGGATTGTTATAGTGAAATTGTATTAATACAATTTATTAATTAATTATGACCTATATTATTATGTATGAAGGAAATGTAAACATTAAAAATTAAAAGTACATCACGTGCACAATGTTTTTTTTCTCTTGATGAGACATTGTAATGCCAACAAGCAATTGTAAATAAAGTGGGTATTTAATAATATATTTAAATAACTATAACTTATATGAGTATATATCTTTTGTGTAAAACATACAAGTATTGAATATGTAAAAAGTATCTCACGCTAACAAGAATTGAAAATTATAAGTGTACACACTATTTTTTTTTGTCACAAGTATTTATTTATAATTTTCGTACAATGCTCGATTGATATTTTTATTAAACTTCAAAAAAAAATTGATTTATTATTTATTATTCCATGTACCTTTTATTTTTATTTATTGAAATGAGTAAATCACAATTTGTTTGTGTTGTACTTGTCGAATTAACGGACGGTTGAAAAATTTGACTGCTGATGAAGGTCGGCATAACATCGACGATCGATCAACGATTTTTGTTATAATTACAAGTTGTAACAAATAAATAATAACAAAAGAAAAAACAAGGAGCGACAATGTCTCTGCTTGTTTCTCATTTCTCGTTCCTCCGCGCTGTTTAGATATAGACTAGGCATGTACGAGAAGTAGTACGGCCACGTGTCAGTGCATGTTGTGCGTGTGCGTGTGTGTATGTGTACATAAATATAAATAAAAAATTGCAGCTTTCCATCGTTAGAACGTGGTCCGCAGTTCTTCTTGTATACTGGTTGACCTGATGAGTTTCTGTTTGGAACCCAGTAAACTCTCACTCCCTAGGCTATCACTGTCGGAAGCTATTTTCAATTTTTCTTCGTGATACTTTTCATTATATTCCTTCAATCTGTTGCCTAGGAACACAGCCCTCTCGCGTTTTTTAATCATAAATTCAGTCGGCAGTAGCCATCGATGTTCGTGGCATTCTTCCGCTAAAGGTCTTTTGCTAAAAAAATTTAATGCATTTTTTAAATATATATGAGATTTCCTATTAAATAAAAAAAATTATTCCACATTTAATATTAAGTTAATCATCCGATTATAATAAATTTTTATATTAATCTTGAAAATTCTTTTAAGTTATTACCAACCTTGGTGCGCGTTTAAAGACCAACATGAGAAATCTGGTGGCCTCTTGGCTCAGCTCTTTGTAAAGATACTCGAATCTGTATCTGACAAAGGATATATTCTGTCTGGTCTCATCCACATCCTTACCACGGAACGGAGAAACTCCAGATAGTAATACATAGATCAACACACCGACCATCCAGATGTCCGTTTGCGGGTAGACAGGTTCATCGTTGTAGAGTTCGGGCGATCTGTATTCAGGATGACCCAGATGCTTGGGCACCATCGTGCCCAATTTGCTGACTCTATGAGCTGACCCCATATCGACCAACTTCACCTGAACTGATCTCACAGATGACATGACAACATTGTCCGGCTGAATATTTAGATGACAGTATCCACGCCAGTGAAGATACTGTAGACCATCGAGAATCTGCGTAATAGCATTCGCCACGCAGTTTTCTGTATACTCGTGCCGACTGGAGAAGTACGTGAGTATATCGGCACCTTGAAGTTTCTCCATGATAAACACTGCCACGGGCGAGTTGGACGCTTTGTAGGCAGCCTCCAGCATGGCTATCCGTTCGTGTCGTAGTAAACGTAATACTTCGTATTCCTGGTTCACCTGTTTCTCCGTCTCGGCATTTAATTCCAAGATCTTGGCAACGATCACGCGATCCGTGCTCTTATCCACACCCTTCACTACCGCGGAGAATTGTCCGCGCGACAGCTCCGAGATAAAACTATACTTGGTGGATAATTGCGGTTCCACCAACCATCCAATCGGATTCTCCTCTATAGAGTAATCGATGTGTGGCTTGTCCTCTTCCAGGACAATCTCTTGGCCGGCTTCTGTTAGCTCTTGGAGATGTCTCATTGCCCGCGTAATCTGTACTTTGGGACAACCCGGCGGTCGCGTCTTTATCAACTTCGACGGAATGCCCTTTTCGCTCCAACCGATGCGGTTACGCGCTGCCAGACGAAAATTGTAACTCGTATCTTGCTTTAAGTCGCGCACCAGATAGAATTCGTGGTCAATGTTGAAGGCAACATCTATCCATGCAATTGAATCACCCTCCTTGTACTGTAAATTATAGCATAGCACGGGCGAGTTGCCATCATACTTCGGCTGCTTCCATCGCAGGAGAACTTCGGTATCCGAAACATCGGTAGCCTAGAAAGTCGAAAATAATATTTTACAACACAAAAATGGAAACATCATTTTTGTATATAAATTGATCGCCACTTCAAAAATCACTTTAATTATATTGTACTGTAGATTACCTCTGGAGAATCTGGACCGCAAGAAACCGTTGCCTGTAATACCCTGGTCCTAACGATCGTTTGTCCTATCGGGTTCCTTGCCACGACTTTATATATTCCAATATCATGCTCCTTTGTAGGATTAAAACTAAGTATAGATCTTCCGTCAGAGTCCTCTGTCACTTTGATCCTATTGTTCTCTTGTATGACCATATCGTTTTTAAACCACTGTATCAGTGGTTTCGGATTTCCTACAGCCAGACAGGTGAGATGCGCCGGTTTTCCCTCTTCGATCGGGCAAATCTGCGGCTTTTCGCGGAAGAACGGAGGCTGACCATCCTTCCTCGATTCGATCATCGCCTCAGCTTCAGCATAACTGTCTAACCGAGTACCTAGTTCATTCTTTAAACGTCTAAGCGTAAACGTGTCCGCAGATCCGTATCGATTAATGCGTGCCCTTCTTTCATCGTCAATCTCCTCATCCATAACATCTGTGAATCGACGACGTTCTCGTATGATGGGTGCCTAATAATAGGATAAATATTAGATAAATATTCTTGAAGATGATATTCTTTTCATTTCAAATACAGTTTTTTATAGCTACCCTCCAGTCAAAGCCGTTATCTTCGGTAATAGAACGTGAGAAACCGGGGCTACGATTACACGCAACTTTCATATATTCGCGTAATCGTACTGGGAAATCGGTATCTCGCAACTGAAGAAGATATGTATCCGGACCGTTCTGATAGCTATAAAATATAAATAGAAAAGGAAAGAATTACAAGAAATTTGTATTGTTATATAGAATTGCATGAGAGAGAGAGGGGGGGAGGGGAGAGAGGAGAAAGAGGGGGGAAGAATTATATAAGTTTATATGATTCGACGTGTTTTTTATCAATTATTTAGATATTTTTTATGGACATGCTATTCGAAATTTAATATTGAAGTAAAAATTAGAATTTCTATTTTAAAAATCAAATCCGATATATTTATTTTACAACGTCTGCTTACTGGCTTTCACTCGTGATTATTCCGATTTCTGTGTCAATTGGTTCCCTAGATGGTATTTGATTTTCCCATGTTCTAGGCGAACGTTTCTTTAACGGACTGTGACTCCTGTCAGGTTCAGGTGTGAACTTATGTCCGGGTGGATATACCATTCGTGAAGGATCGTCAAATGCTGTCTCCAGTTTGCTTCTACGGTACCACGTGCGGCACGAAGCATTGCTGTACCAATCGCTATAAAAATGTGTTTCATTTGCAATCAAACTTTCTCAAAATGATAAATTACATTAACTTTACAATAGAAGCATTAGAGTCCTATGAATTTTATTGTGAAGCAAATTTCACAAATATATTTTACACGCATAATCCTTTTTTCATCTATTCAACTTTTATTCAAATTAAAGAGAAAATAGTTACATTTACAGAATCCTAGATTACGCAAAATTCATTTTCGTATTTAAATGTGTTGTTAAAAGATAATAGTCTGCTTACCGATAAAGTTTATAATAATTCTTCAAATTTTCGGAAGGTATCCTGTAGGGTTCTGGTGGCGAGCTGTCGATGTAATTAAACCATGGATGAACCAAAGCAGTCCTAACATCCATTCTTTTATCGACATTGTACACCAATAGACTACGAATAAAGTCCTGTGCTTCGTTCGAGATATTTTTCCATCGGTCATCGAAATCCCATTTGCCTTCTCTAATCTTCTTCAGCGTCTCTCTATCGTTCGTACCTCTAAATGGCGAGATACCCGATAGCAAAATGTAAGTAATTATGCCAACAGACCACATGTCTGCGCCGTAGCTAACGCCTTCGTTATTAGTTACTTCCGGTGCAATGTATTCTGGCATACCGTATGCCAAGGTCATCAGCTTTGTTTGCGAAATTTTGCGAGCTAATCCAAAATCTCCAATCTTCAAGTCATCTCCTCCAACATGAGAAACTAGTAGATCGCCGAGCTATAAGGAAAAACATATTCAAACGTATTAATTTTAGCAAAGATAAGATTTTATGTAGTATCTATATAAAAAGGGTTTTTTATTTCCATTGTATTTAAAATTCCAATTTTATGTTTGCTTTAAGTAGTTTAAGTAATATAAAGAGAAATTGCACAAATCACTTGATTATTCGAAAATATATTCATATTTTTTCTTAAAAAAAAAAAAAAAAAAGATTTTCAAATAACTTACCGTCAGACCGAGATGTGCGTAATGATTTCCATGCATATATTCCAATCCCCATAACAATTGACGTATATAACGAGCGATATCTATTTCAGTATAATGTTCTTGTCTTGTGAGATTGTCCACTAATTCGCCACCGGCCGCTCTAAATTATCATTATTAAGGATTGTTCTGCTAGATTTTGATACAATCGAGTTACTTTGACATATCAAACGAATACAGAATTATCATTAGAATTAATAATAATTGATACTTGGAGAAGTATTTTATAATTATTTCAACATTTATCCTGATGCTATACGTAAGGTAAATCAAATACGGAAATAATAAAGGATACAATTCCGTGACCAAAGTAACCGAATTGTCCGTTTCGAAGGCATCGTGCAATCGTAATAATTTACGGTGATGCAGGTTGTTCATTGCTTCCATTTCATTATACATGAATGGTTTGAGATCACCGCGTCCGTGCATAATCTTAGAAGCATAATTTCTTCCGGTACTCCGTTCGACTGCATGATAAGTCACACCCTGAGTGCCGCGACCTAGCTCGTCACCTAAATCATACAAATCGTCAAACGGCTTATCGCGTGGTTTCACGTCCATCTTCTTCCTATATGTTCTGTATCCATATTCGTGCTCGTTCTCCTCCACGTGCAACATCACCGAGCAGGATATCGAGCCGGCCACATTACCCGCGCTGATCGAGTAAAGACCCTCATCCTTCACAATGGCATCGTTGACAATGAGAGTCGTAATATCGGGTTCGGTATACTGAACCTAATTAAAAAGATACCTTTTTAATTAAAATTTTTTGAATTGAAATTTCTAATTGAAAACAGATATCTTTTATTTAAAAATGCAATAAGATATTATTCTGCAGTGAAATCAGGACTTTGCATAATATAAATATGAACGGAAAATACTCTGATTCTGGAAGATGAAGCTATAGGTTTCCAGTCCTTGTACCACTTAAGCTCCGGATAAGGCACGCCAGTTACGCGAGCAGTCAATTGGCCGGTTCTTCTCATCATCACAACAGCCTCTTCGGGTCTTTCGATAAATGTGGGATACTCAGCGATTTTTAAAATAACTTTTTGCCTGGCCTCGCCATGTTCATTTGTAGCAACGGCCTCATAAACACCCTCGTCTCTCTCAAGCATTCTATTGATGAATAGAGTCGCCTGGCCATTTCTAGTATAACTCTGATCGTATCGACCGCCCGATTCAATCAGTTGATCATTGAAGTAATAAGTCATTTTCGGTTTGGGATAGCCATAAACGAACCAGAAGAGATTGCAATTGTGATTTTTCACGCCGTACTGAGTGTCGTATTCCTGACGCAAAAATCTAGGCGCCTGAGCATAACCATCGTGCGGAGGTCGCTCGATGTCAAAATCTTTCGGGAAGTAGGGACTAGTCTCTGGACGAAAGTCAATACCAGGAGGTAAATACGGGAAGAACTTGGGCGGTTCCGGTTCTAATTTAGCACGATGAGTTTGTGCAAACGGCGATGGATCGCTTATGCCGTACTTGTTCTCCACGCGAATGCGGAATTTGTAATCGCGAAACGGTTCGAGATTGCGAATATCGCAGACGCAGCTGCGAATACCACTGCGAGCGGTGAACCAATCGCCATCCGGGAGTTCGCACATCTCCACCAAATAGGTTACAGGTATTCGCGGCCCGATCGGGATGGATGGCTTCCACGATAGAGTAAGATGTCGATCCATCATGCGGCTAATGATTGGGCGGTCTGCCAGAGGCAACGGAATGCCGGACTTTTGGTATTTATCGTAATCCGCGTACTGATCGGCAAGAGGTTTCTTTGCGCGTGGTTCCAAAGCTGAAATTGAAAAATGAAGGGTAAAAACGACTTAAATATTTTAAAAATCTCGTAACATATATCCTCGAAGGCAAAGTTCACATTTACTTACATTCGTAAATCATCTCGGCGCTACACGAATCCTCACCATGAGGATTAGATATCTTCAGCACGTATTTTCCGGCATCCAACTCATCCACGTTAACTACCATAAGCCGCAACAAACTACCCTCCTGGTCCATTCTGATGCGATCAGTGGGCCAAATCCGGTCACCATTACGGTACCACTCAAAGTCAGGCTCCGGATATCCCGTGACGCACGCGGTGAACTTGGCCGGCATACCTCTGTAGACTTCACAATCGCCAATTCTCTTCAGGAATGTCGGCGGTTCGACCTTCTGCATTTTTTGGCTAAAATTACAGATGTTACAAATGTTACAGATGTTCTGCATTTTTTGTTAAATATTTTTTGGTTAACATATGTATTTGTAGAACAGCTAAAAAATTTTTTTTCTTGGATAAAATCTTACATTTTATCAACTATAGCTAGATTTGCTGCGCATTCCGCTTCGCCGCCCTTATTAACTGCTCTACATCTGTACCGTCCTGAATCATCGTCTGCACAATCCTTCACGTACAGACAGCAGGCATCACCGTCGCGTTTTATCTTGTATTTGTCGTTGTCCCTTAGAATCGGCTTGTCATTGAAATACCAGGTCACTTCCGGTTGCGGTATGCCAGTTACACGGGCCGGGAACTTGGCGTCGAACGTGGGCAGCTGTTGTAGATCCGTAAACTTTTGTGTGAAGGTTGGTGACTGATACACTTTGCGAATAATGGCATTTGCGCTGATGGTATCTTCACCCAATGGATTGCTTAGCCGACAGCCGTAGATGCCCGCGTCTTTGGGCTTGCACGAATCAATTTGTAGACCGACCTTCTTCCCGTCGCAGCTCGTCGTCACACGTTCCGATGGCTCGATCGGTTCACCATCTTTTGTCCAGTTTACGTTGGGAATTGGATTGCCGGCAAATGACACATCCAGCGTTAATGGCTGGCCCTCCTCGACAGATATATCACGCATGGGACTAGTGAATGTCGGCTTTTCCTCCGGCGTGTCCGGTCTCACCTTGCCAGCAATGTCCAGCTTAGCTTTGCAGGACGCAGTGCCTTCCGTGTTGCCAGCTACTACCTGATACACGCCGACGTCTTCTGGCGTTGCCTTATCGAGAATCAGAGCTTGACTACCATCCGGTTGACTAACGATCTTTACATGTTTATTGTCCGGGATAATCTGAAAGAAAGAATTAAATTATAGACATCATTTTGTTGAAAAATAAATATGAATTTGAAATATTTCAATATTATCATATTAACTTCTTCATCGTTTCGTAGCCATTGGAGTTCGGGCGTTGGTTTTCCTATAGTTTTCACTTCCATCTTTACCGGGAAACCTTCAACAACGGTTTGTGGTTGAAGACTCGCGACAAATTCTGGTCTCTTCTCTCGTTCTTCCACTTCTACCTTAGCCGTACCCGTGATTTCACCGAGTGCGTTGGATACAATCACCGAATAGGTCCCTGCGTCTTCTAGACGTACATAATCCATTTTCAATCCGATAAGACCGTTTGGTTCGTTGGTGAAATACATTTCCTTTGTATGTCTTAATGGTATTCCGTCTTTGAACCATTGCACCTGCGGATTTGGGAACGCTAAGATTTGAGCTTCTAATTTCAATGGTTGCCCAACCACAGCTTTTGTATCTTCCAGTGGCTTCGTGAATGATGGCCTCCTTCGTTCAGCTGTAACGAACGCAAATTTTATATTAAGATAGTGATCGTATTACGAATATCGTAATACAAAGATTTTAGAAAGATACAAAGATAAAGAGAAAATAAAATTTACTTACGCGTGACAGCGACAGCGCAAAGCGAAGAATTCTCACCACTAGGATTTGTAACGACGAGCTTGTAGGCACCACAATCGGTGGGTTTTACCACATCAATCGTAAGCTTTGTAGTACCGTCCGGCAAAGTGCTGATCTTCACATGATCGTCTGGCGTGATTTTCTCACCGTCCTTGAACCAAGCGACGTTGGGTATCGGGCTACCATCTATCTTGGCCTTCAGCTCTAGAGGCTCGCCCTCGTCGATTTCCGCTGATCTCGGTAACGCTTTACCAAACGAAGGTGCGGTCAATGTCATGGATAGATCGCAGTTGGTTTGCACGCTTCCGGCGACATTACTCGCTTTACATGTTATTGTACCGACATCTTTTGCAGAGAAGGTTTTGATGAAAAGATTACTGTCCACTATGCCATCCACGTGAGTCGTCACCTGGTATCTTTCATCTTCCTTGATAATCTCACCATTCTTCAACCATTCTACGCTAGGCCTCGGAATGCCAGTCACGCGTATCTTCAATTCGATGTCCTCGCGATCACTACATTGCATTTTCGACAAATTCTTCAAGAAGACTGGAGCTTCAGCTACAGAGAAATGCAAATGTGTTTTTATTCCGAATTCTTTAATCCAATCAAACAAAAATATCTATAAAATATTTTTTCACTTCTCATTGCTTGCGCGTGTTATGTCCGTTCGAAAGTTTGATTTACTTACTGTGAGGTGTGAGAGTAGCTTGAGCACTTGTTTCACCCAAATAATTCTTTGCCATAACGGTATAGATGCCCTTATCTTCTAGACTGAGCTTCTTAATAATGAGTTTGTATTTACAATTTCTCTTATCTTCTTCAATATCATACCGTTCGTCTTTTTGCAGCTCTATATCGTCCTTCATCCATTTAATATCGGGTTTCGGATTTCCTTTGATCACAGCTTGCCATTCAACTCGCTCGTCAACTGATTCAGTATGATCTCTAAAGCTGTCAATTTCCGGTTTCAATAAAAGACTCAAGAATGCCTAAAAGTGTAAAAATCTCATTAATTATTAAATGATCTCCTATATTTTGCGATCATTTGTTACTCTATATTCAGCTACTTACGCTACTTTCGGCTTCACCCCACTTATTCTTTAATTTCAAAGTATATTCTCCAGTATCTTCTTTGGTACATTTTGGGACTTTCAATGTGACTTTACTTTCTGTCAATTTATCCGCTGCTGGTCCGTTAGCAATAATTCCTTTAATTCTAGAATCATCAGGCGGAATTTCGTTACCTTTGTAATACCTGAAAAAATATATTTGTATACGAAATAACATTTTTCAACTTAAACAATATATTATATTCTAATTATATCCAATATATAAATATATTTTTTAAGATAGAATAGACTTATAGACTGTGAAAAGAATATAATATCTTCTTCTATTATTTCTCATCACGTTTTAATATTTCTATATATTTTCAATTTTTTTATATAAATAAAATCCTATGTTTACTGAAAATCTCTTAAAATCTATGACATATACTGCAAATATATACCATGTGACATCCGGGACCGGATCAGCTGTAAAGACAGCTTTAAATTCGCCGTTAGCCTCAAAGGCAACATCGACATCGTTGAGAGGTTCGGTAAATCTCGGTTTTCGGAGCTCGTCGACAGTTCCAACAGTCAGGTAGCCGTCTATGACTTCTTCGCCCAATTTGTTCGTCAGAACGCACGAATAAAGACCCTCGTCTTCGAGGGTGGCCTTGCTGAGATCCATCTCGTACAATTCCCCTGAAGTTGTGATCCTTATTCGTTCCCCGGATCGAAGAGCCTTACCATCTTTAAGCCATTTCACGTCTGGTCTTGGTAAACCAGTGGCCTTCACCTCAAACTTCGTGTTCTGTGTCTCGAAGATCATTCGATCGGTGAGATCTGTGCTCACGACGTGAGGCGGAGCTGCGAGAAAAGATATGAATGAGCTGTTATTTATTAAAAAAATTTATTTTAGAAAAGGAAGCATGCCCTTGTTTAAACAAACTCTTCCTCCTATCAGTAGTAAATTGGTAGTAACAGAAGGCATCAGGCTATGATTGATCAAAGAACATTGTTATGCAATCAACTTTTTTTTACAGAGAACGCTATTATAATATATATTTTAATTTATATAGATAGTTATATGATATTTCATAATTTATTTCGTCACAGTATATTTTTCTTGTATCAATTATAATTTTCAAATATTTAATTAACTTTATACATATAATTAAAATGAATTATTAAAAATTGCAGGTAATAAGAATATTGAAACTACCAATAGTAAGTATATAATTATTTTAAAATTTATGAATTTTTAAAACAAAAACAACATTATCATGTCTCCTTTTTAAAAAAATATGTGCAAATATAAATTTAAATGCAATTACACGTACATCTATTTATTCATCATCTTTATTTCTATTAAGTTATATGTTCTCTTGATATACTTACCTATAGAAGCTCTTGGTTAAACAGGTGCTCAGAAAACCGCATAGTGAAAATTATATAAAAAGATTAACTATCATATTTTAGATTAAAAGCCACAATCTTACCTTAATATTTCTTTTAAGTTGGCGAAGAGTAATGCTATAAAAATCGAAATTCCAAAAATACAAGTAGTTAATATTACGCATGGAAGCATAAATGACATATATTGATTAATAATGAATATCATATTTCAAATAAAAATTATCACTATATTAATATACTATAAATATCAAGAAAGAGAGAGCAGATAGATTTTTTAAAATTTACAGATATATTCTTGTAAGTTACTATCGATAAACTTTCTATTATAGATATTTATATTTCCATGCGAGCATGCGAATATTATACGAATAAAATTGTAAGAGCAACATATGCGAGAGAAAGGAAAAAGTAAGACAATTAGCGAGATGAGTCTATCAGTCATAGATAGAGACGATGCAACAATATGTTTTTCGACGAATCGTCGTGCTGCGAGATTAGAGTTAGTTGTTAAAACTACCGATGGAACCTCACGGTCGTACCTGACTCTTTGCCCGATTCTTTATCGAGGATTTCATCTAATACGCTACGTTGCCGTTTAACTCGAGCTAAAAGATCCTTCATCTCCTCATCGATCTCCTCGTCATCATCATCATCAAGTTGTGCTTTCTGAGAACTCTGTCTCGACAGCGTTTCACTTGACATCGCCGAAGCTTTTGTCTTCTCAAGCTTCGCGGTGTCCTTCGATAATTCGACAGCTGAGTTTGGTCGATCTAAAGTTTTTTCCGCGACCTTTTTCACCGGACTTGTATCGCTAATTGTAGAACTTTGACTGGGCAAGTTTATTGTCTTCACATCCAGACTTTCTCGCTTCAAAGTTTGATTCGACAAAGTCGCCGATAACGATTCTTCCAAGGATCGCTCCTCAGCGATGGTTTCGGTAATTCTGGCGATTCTATGTGACTTAATATCTTCAAAAGTTTTTTGTTTTTCTGGCGTTTCATTGAAGGAAATCTCATCGAGAATACCATTCGTTGTTTTCTGATCCTCCGGGAGTTGATCAGCCAATTGAACATCCTCCGTGCTAACATCTCGCGATAGTGCTTTCAAAGTCGATTCGTCATCGGAAACGGAAACAATTGTAACGCCTTGATTGACACCTAAATTTGACTTCTTCTCTTCAGTTTCGGAGAACTCCTCGATCAACACACCGTTTTGTGGTTTAGAATTCTCTTCTTGCACGGTGTAAGCATAAGAAGCGATTTCCTCAACGCGGGGTCCCGAATCAACACCGAATTCCCGACACTCGACTTTGGTTGCTGTCATCTTGCTGATTGTGTGACTTTCACCGGGACCTGCGAATGGTCTAATCTAATATCTTCGACTACCAGCATCCCGCGTACAATTACGCATGACATATGTCTTCCGTATCTTTAGAAACGACCTCTTCGTACCGTTACTAAAGTTGCGATTATTATACATAGAGCTGTTTTCATAAATTGCACGCTTATTATTTAAATCATACGATGTATGTTATAATATGTCAGATAGAGACACGCGCGCGTTCAACTATGTTAAAAATAGATGATGATGAAAATTTTGAAGTGAAATAATCTTTGTCTGAGTACATTCTCTTTTTAGGAAAAGCATTACAATTTCGTGTTTCTCGTTTGTTTGTGTAACTGTTATAGAATATCCGAACAACATAAACGTCTAAAACACTTTACAGGATTCTAAAAGACGTCTTTCGAATTTTTATATTGATTGGATATTTTTTCGGTTGAATGATAATGTATGATATACGTAAGATTACCTGTAAGTATAGCTTCGTGTGATGTCGTGGAGGCCACAGAGATCGTGATTGTTTCATTGTCCCCTTGAATTACTTGGATGTTTTGTTTCTCCAATTTGACACGACCTAAATTTATCAGATATTGTTTCTATCGCTAAATGACTTTTAACCATATACCTTCTCGATGCTAAGTTACATAGCGTGTGTGCGTGCGGATTGCGTGATAAATTTACAATACATAATGCAAATTACACAAATATATACCTAATTTGTTAAAATCGGTATTGTATGCGATTAAATAAACTTTCAAAAAACGATCGACAGCAAAGTGACTGCTGTTTCTAATCATCAATTCTGAGATCCTCAATGAAGATATGTGTGAGAAAGAAAAATTAAACAAGATTTCAAAAATCTATATGTTGCAAAAAATGTAATTGCCTTTAACATGCAGTCTCTGATACTAATTATCTAACATATGTTTCAATTCTAGAATAAAAGTGTTTTTTCTAACACGTAAAGAAACCCTTATCGAAGCGTGCGATGCTCTTGGAATTGTCAAAGCGTTAGAATTGTAGCGTTTCAAATGCAGCAAAGTCAAAACTTCGCGTTTCTCTTGCATTCTAATTGAGCTAATCAAGTTAGCGCACATGATTACCTTCCAATCCCGACTCTTCAGTGCGCAGAGTCTCTTCCTGTGGCAATTGTTCCTTTATCAATTTCTTCGTCTGGGTTTCTGCTATCTTCACCTCCTCGGTTTTTTCTTTCGGAGGTTTTACCTTCTCATCTTCCGTCTTAGCTATAGAAGTACATTCTTTCGAGTCTTTGTCATGACGTGTTTCAAAACGCGATATGTCAACATGTTATGACACTTAGAGATTCAAAAAAGTCCGAAAAATATATCGAAAAAATTTCTCGGAGTACCACAAAATCAATTGTATGATAATCTACAAATGGATTAATAAGAATACAGAAAAAGAAACAGAGAACACATTTTGCGTCAACGTCAATAATGTGACGCGTCAAAAATGATGTTCCTCCCTTTCGTTTAAGGAAATCAGGAGAATTCTTTCTACACACCCAGATTTTTTATACAGAATCTATGAGAAAAAAATCTGTCGATTGAACCTCCTCGCTAAAGAGGCGGTCTAAAAAATTCCCAAGATGTCATATCGGTAAAACAAAATGAAAAGGAAACCATACAGCTTTATTTATACATTTAATACTTACTGAATGCTGTCAAAATACGATGACTTTACCACTGCGATTTCTCAAAAATTAGGAATGTTTATTGCTGTACACTGTTCCAGCAAATGTCATGATATCAGCCTTCGTAAGATTTTTTTAACTCTGCTAAAATTATTCTCGCGATTAACTCTAGAACTCGATTGTAAATTACAGGAAGAAATACTGCTATTCCGCAAATTATAATACAATCTTCAAAAAATGTAAATTCATTATTTTTGAAGTATAATTATTTGTTATCATAAATATATATCATGCTATTATTTTTTTATTATACTCGTACTAATTTGACAATTCGTGACATAACAATTTTTTTTAGTCGGACTTAGATTCGCGTCGAACGGACTCAAGTTCTAGAGTTAGGAAAAAAAAATAAAGAGATGCGGAAACTTACTCAACACGATGACTTTACTCTTGCTGGTGACGTAACCCAACTCGTTTTCTGCCCGCACTTCGTACAAGCCTCCGTCGCTACCCTTTAGTAACGTCACCGTTAAATCATAGCTCTCACTGCGCTGGCTGTTCCTAGTGATTTTGATTCTAGCATCCGCTGTCACTTCCTCGCCATCCTTGTACCACTTGACTTCCGGATCCGGTGTGCCGGATACTTCAAACGTCAACTTCAGCGTTTCACCCTCTTTTAACCTCTGGTCTGCTAATTTCTTCAAAAGCTTCGGTCGAGTATTTACTGTCAAATTGGAACTACTCGAGTTTTCACCATATTCATTCTGCACCTTACAAGTATAATGGCCCTTCAACTCGGTTTTCAGTTCGTTAATGATGAGCTTGTAATTGTCGCCTTCTTCTACGCGGGTGTACTCTGTGCGCTTCTCTGTGATTTCAACATCGCCCAGAAACCAATGCACACTTGGCTTCGGGAAGCCTTCGACCTCGACCACAAATTCGACGTTCAACTCGCCCTCGTTTGCACTGATATCGCACAATTTCGTCTTGAATCTCGGTATACCGCGTACCTGCAATAATATCGCAAAGATATTAGAAGTAAAAAATTAAAAAAATAATTGCAGAATTTTTTAATTCCAAATAAACTTTAGTTTAGCAAAATATAAAAGATTATTTTCAAAATATATTTTAAATTCAAGGATCAGATTATATACCCTGATTCTCGTCTCGTCCGAAATCGTTCCATGCTTGTTCACCACTTCGACTTTGTAAATCGCCGCATCTTCTACTTTTGCACCGCTGATTGTGAGAATATAATTGTTTCCGTTTTTCGTCATCTTCATGCGATCGCTCGCAGTCAAAAGCTGTCCGTCCTTGTACCAATTGATTGTTGGTTCTCCATCAGACTCTACCTCAATCAAGAGATTCAATGTGTCGCCTTCGTTAATTACTCGTGGCTCGCCCAATCTCTTCTTAATCTTCGGTGGGCATCTGATACCGACCTTCCAGATCTCAGTTGTCTGATTGATCTCGTTTCGCGCAACAATCGAGTATGAACCAGCATCAGTCAATTTGGCATTTTTTATTACAAGCTTGTATGTGTCGCTGTTCTCTTTAATGATCTTGATACGATCGCTCTCCTCAATCAACTGACCGTCCTTGTACCAAGTCACTTCCGGTGCCGGAGTAGCCTCCACTTGTACGGTCATCGTGCCTGTCTCTTCAATCATAATCATCATATCAGACTGTTTCTTCGTGATCTTTGGCGCAGATTTCACAATCAGCTCGATCTGTGTACTGTCCTCTCCGAGATCGTTCTTTGCCCTGATGGTATAAACTCCAGCGTCTTTAGCGGTAACTTGTTTAATCACTAATGACAACGATTCCTCATCTTCCCAGAGATACTTAATTCTACCACCAGCTATAATCTCCTGACCGTCCTTGGTCCATTTGATATCCGGCTTGGGATATCCCTTCACCTGCAGGTCCAACATCGCAGAGCCACCGGCGCTCACCTCGGATTGCTTCGATTCTGTTTGAAGTTTCGGTTTTTCTGGATCCTTCAGCAATTGATTCACAGCACCCTGCACTGTCAGCTCTGCACTGCAGCTAATGTTACCTATGTATTCAAGAATTTCCATAAATCAACATATTAATATAATATGTGAAATGCAATATTAAATTAATGTTAATTATTACAATATAATTTTTACCTGTGCTGGTTTGCGCCACGCATGTGTAAAGACCAGCGTCCTCGGGTTTCACATGCTGAAACACTAATGCCAGAGTGTCTTCATTATCCTTGAAGAGAACTTTAAATCTCTCCTCAGGATCAAACGTCTGTCCGTCACGCGTCCAAATAAATCGTGGCTCAGTTCCAAGCTCAAGGAGACCTTCAGGAAGACCTTGGAAAAGTGGCTTTTCATCGGTCACTGTCACTACCGCCTCGCACATGGCTTCGCCATAGCGATTCATAGCTGTGCATGAATATTTTCCAGCGTCCTGCTTCTGAACATCAGCAATCACTAATTCATAAAATCCCTTTTCGGCGTTGTCTCGAATGATCTTCACACGTTCGTACTTTGCGTCAATTAAAGTACTGTCTTTGAAGCTAAGAAAAAATGCGCGTTAATGTGTTAATTTGTGGCAAACAATAGACATTTGAAAGAAATGTTCCAATTCTTCAAACATCTTTCTAATGTCTATTGCACATCTTTTAAATTTTTATTATGTATTATAACTTAATAGCTGAAAGAGTCCCTTGCTTTCTTTTATTTAAAATCAAATTTTATTCCGAAAATATACATTTTACAAATATGGAGCATTTTTGTATTAGATAAAGTTTGAAACTTACAACTTTATTTCCGGATTAGGATCCCCTTTGACTTTAATCATAAAACGTAGGTAGGTATTCTCGAGGAGCTCGGTATCTTTCAGGCGCACCAAGAATATAGGAGAGTTTGCTTCTGCTCTTGCTATTTTCTCTTCCGGACTCACTGCAGTATTTTACATCAATAAAAACATAAAATTATTTCGTGTTTAGGAGTAACATTATGACATTATATGACTTACATTGTTGAACCACTAATTGAGCAGTGCACGTTGCTTCACCGTTTACGTTCAGAGCACGTGCAATGTATATGCCGGAATCTGATTCGTGAACGTTCTGGATCTCAAGTTTACATATATTGTCAGTCAACGTAGTGGTGACACGATCAGCCAACTTGTCCTCCATCGGTTTGTTATCCTTCAACCATTGTATCCTCACGGTCGAATCGCTAGTTAACATCGTGCACTCGAAAGTAGCAACTTCTCCGGCTATAAAAGATAACTCGAATTAGGGCAAAGCAACGACGCATCGTGATTCCGAAGGAAATGAGAATGGTGTGAGAAACGAATTCGTCAATTCCAATACAATCGTCCTGTATCTAAAATACTCAAAATAAATAGCGTTATACATTATAATTTATCCCTTTACGTGAGCATCAAAATAAGAAGGAATATAAAAATTATTCCAGAATAGATTTAATATAGTTATTAAATGTGCTCAATACAACATACGATCTGACTACATGTGCATATATAATATATCGAATGATTAATATATAACACTGCTTTTGATTCATGGAAACATAAATATCCATCTACAGGTCATGTGTAAATGTGTATAACAAATTTTAAGATGTAAAATGTATATCAAAGGATATTATCATGTAATAACTAACAAAAAATTCATTTGCTATAAAAACTTTGCTGAAAATATAATGTATATATACAGGGTGTTTCCAAATTAAATGGCAAAACTTCGGGAGCGTGTAGAGGAGTAAAAAACTAAGAAAAAAAGTCCTATAGACATATGCTCCTTTTTGCTTTGTTTCGCAGGAAATCACGAAAAAAGAAAAAAATATATTTAATTTATTATTTTAATTATTTTATTTATAAACTTTTTAATGAAGATTTTGTTCGAAATGTGCACCTCTTGCAGCAATACAAGCATTGCATCTGTCAAACACGGCTCTTGTAGCAGCCAGGCACTGTTCTTGCGATATTCTGTTCGCTGCAGCTACGATACGATTTCTCAAATGTTGCTCTGATTGAATAGGCGAAGAATAAACTTCTT